TTAAAACAGATCACATGATCAAAATTGACAAATACCAAGCATCAATTTTGATCATGTGATCTGTTTTGACGCTAAAAATGAGCGTCGAGCGTCAGCATGAAATCATACCTTAAGGGTTCAGAGATTCCTCACTCGATGGATAATTGCTGGGTGACTGCAAATTTGAGCCTAGAAAATATTTTAAGGAATGAAAGTTTCTAGAAAGTATTTTGGATCTTTATAGGAATGGAACTTTATTTATAGATACAGTGTAATGCAATAATTCGCTAGGTTATAGACAAATTCTAATTATTGCACTGCACTGTACAAACGAACAAATATCGTCGGGATATCGTCTATTATCCAGCGAATTATTGCACTGCACTGTATTTTAAGTACGGGAAACTTTGCAATACTTTTGGGTTTGAAATTCATCCGAAATCTATTTAAGTAAGAATCTGAACTATTTTTGAATAGTCGGAGGCTATCAAAATTTGAACACATCCAAGAATGTTAATCTAAATCTAATTCTTTTACAATTTAGTGAATATTTTAGAAACGCTTATTAAATAATTTGTGAATTTTTATTTTATTTTTATTATATAACTTATAAATAATTGATAAATTACATTTCTTGAGTCGAGTTTAATTCGAGACCAACACTTTCGGGATCTAACCTGGACTTTTTAAACTTTTTCGTTGAACTCTCTGAAAAGAAAATTTTAAAAAATCTTTAAAATCATACAAATTTCTATTATATCAAACAAGAATTAATTTATTACGTTAAAGCATAATAAATATAAAAAAAATTAATTACCATGGTAGAAATGCTTCGCAGTACGTTTTCTAATTTCCTCAATGCCTTCCTCCGCCTGTGCCCATTCAAGCACTAATCTTCGACCGTACAAATGAGTACTTTGACCAAGTGCGTTAAATGCTTTCTATAAGAAAATGCGATTAAAGTTAATAGAAAAATAATGCAGTCCTAATTATGCGTTTTTATAATTTAATTTTTTTAATTATTTTATTAAATAGAATTAAATAAATGCACTTTCTAAAAATCATTACCTTTGCATCTGTCTTAGTATAATACTCGATGAAGGCGAATCCTCTGTGCTTCTCAGTGCCGACCAGTTTTTTCGGTAGTCGTACGGCCTTCAACTCACCATACGATCTGTAAAATTACAATTAATTAATTATGTTGCAGCTCAATGTTACGTAAAAACATTTCAACGAAAAAATAGATATGGTATACATATACATACTTGAACAACTCTGTCATTTCCTGGGCGGTTGCTTGGAAGGGTATGTTTCGTACTAAAATTTTAGTGCCGGTTTGTTCGGTAATCTTGGTCTTCTTTCTCGCTGTTTTGACATCGGACCTAGAAAATCTCTCGCGATTATTAAAAAATTCTTGGCTTTTTAACAAGCTAAATTTAAAAAAAACTTACATTAGCGTTCTCTCAGATCGTTTCAATTCCAAACTTTTCCCATCGAGTACTGACATCTGCAACGTTTTTAACGCACGATCCGCGTCGTGTTTTCTCTTGTACCTTACGAATCCGTATCCCATAGACAATTTTTGTGCAGGATTTTTCGGATCCTTTTTAGTTGCTATTGTGACGTAATGAAGAGGACCACATTTACCAAAGTACTATAAGTGTACAGTTATATTATTACAAAGAAAAACAACAGTAACATCGTAAATGTAACAATGTTTTAACTACTTACATCTTTCAACTGTTCCTCCGTAGTTGAAAAATTGATATTTTTTACGAAAAGTGTTGTATCCGGTTCGGGTGGTTCGTCGTCCTCCTTTCTGTGTGTATTACTCTCATTTTCTTTAGATTCTTTTATCGTTGTTTCATCCTTAACTTCTTCCAAATCTGTGGATTTTTTTGTGGCCGTTTTACTTTTAGTTACCTTAGTTTTAGATGCAGGCGTGGAGAAACTGTTATCCGGCGCCCACTCTAGATACAATGGTAAATGCTTATATTTCGTGTAAGCTAATGCACGGAAAGCCTTGCGTGCTTCGGATGGCTCTAGAAATTCGACCAGCGCTGTTATGCCCGCCGGTGGCATTACGATACGCGCGAGCTCTCCATGTTTGGCAAACATCTCTCGTAGTTCCCTCGGTTTCGTCTCAGCCGGCAAATTCTTCACTAAAATTATGCTACTCGACCTCTTTTTGGGCGCCTCATTAAAAGCATCCAAGCACACGCCATTCTCCTCCAAAAACGCTTTTGTATCCTGAGTCAATTGGGTTTCTCCTAACGCTAGTTTGACCGCGGCGCTCATTCCATTCGATCCATCTTCCAACAACTTCTCCTTCGTCGTGTTGTAACGACTCGCAACAGCGTCCGCCACGGCGTTCTGTCCAAGAAACAGCGTATTCCAATTGTGCGACGAACCCGCTGCCGCCTTAGTCTGCAGTTCTTTCTTTTGTTTATAAGTTAAATTTTCAGTATTGATATCCTCCAAGGAAGCTTTCGCCTTTCCGGGCAGAATATGTAACATTCTGCCATCTAATACCGAACCGTCTAGTTCGCTGTAAGCTTTTACAGCATGTTCTGGCATCAGGAACGTCACTGTGCCAAAACCTTTCGGTTTCCTAGTTACTTTATCCACAGGTAAATCCACTTCAGACAGAAGACCATACTTCTCAAATAGTTTTCTGATGTCATCTTCCGTAGTTGTATATGTCAGATTTCTGATAAACATCTTTCCAGATTCCGCTATACTCTCTTCGTTCTTTAAAGCCTCCTCTTGTTTCTTCCATTTAATATTAGATGAGCCCTTGTCAGATTCGACTGCCTCTTTTTGTTCATATTTCGATACAAATATTTGTTTTCCTTCTACATAAATAAAAAATATACACTTACAAACATATGCATAATATTGTACATTGCACTATATAAATTACATTTAAATTTTTCTTACCTAGAAAACTCTTATTCTTCATAAGAGCCTTCTTCATGGCTTGCTCTGTTTTGAATCCCACGTAAGCTATACCTTTAATTTTAGGTGGTACTCGTATAGATTTCGGTTTTATAGGACGAAAGAATTGCTTAATGTGTTTTTTTACATGATTGTATCCCAGTCCTCGTAATTTTACAGTATAAAATGTCAATGGACCATGCTTTGGTACATCTTTCATCAGAGATTTTATTCCACTCTGACGTAGCCAATCAGGTTCGTCTTTTCCACTTGAAAGTGTTATTTTTCCTAAAATAGTACAAATTATATTTTTCACCAATTATTTTCTTATTTTACAGGAAATATAAATTACAATATCCAAAATAAAATTTATTTTGGAAAAAAGAATACAAATTTATTAACAGACTGCAGGTTCTTCTATTGAATATTGTGTGTTTACAGTAAATATTAAATTCAGTTCTTTTAAGTTCTACAAATTTAAACAAATTTTTAAGAAACTTTAAATTAAAAAATATAATTTAATTATAAAAGTATTCATTATCAAAATATAAAATTAAAGTTGCCTAGTAACACATAATGCAGAGAAGCAAAATGGAAAAGAAAAGGAAAAATATCTCTTTTCCTTCTCACCTGTACTTTTTTTCTCGTCATCTTCCTCGTTTTCAGACTCATCATCAGACTCCTCCATAGTTTCTTCTTTCGCTGATACATCAATATTATTTTTCCAAATTACTTTTGCATCTTTACTAGTATGCGTTTCAAGAAAGTCCATAAATAAAGGATCATCCTTGTGCTAAATTTAACATAAAAGTTTGATGAACAATTTTCTCTTAATAGAATACGAGTTAAAATTTATTAACAAAGTTAGAAAAGATTTTAATATACCTTTTCGAGTGCTTTCTTAACTTCGTCATTCTCCTTTCTGTCTGCCTTTTTCTTTTTCTTCTTTTTGTCACTTTTATCCTTAATTTCCTCTACATCATTCGTTTCTGTCGAGTCTATCGATTTTTCCTTTGACTTAGCAGATGCCTCATTAATCTTTTTGTTATAAGAACTGTCATTTGCATATTTGCTCCATGATCTTGGCTTGGAAGGATCACCTGAAATATACATACAAAATACGTTCATGTATCAAAATGCTAGGTTACTAACAGTTTTAGGTTTTAGGTTAGATAACTGTTGTAATAATTATTTATAATTATACGTACCTAAATTTGCACATTGCTCGACAGATATTTTACAAGTATCGATGAATGTTTGATCAAAATAGGATTGCGCCAATTTTGCTTGTTCCTCTGATTTGTAACCAATAAATGCAAATCGTCGAAACTTGCCATCCTTGTACTTCAACTGGACATCGGTCACAATACCCTTCTCACTGAATAATTCTTTCAATTTGGTGTCCGTGATCTATGTAAAATAAAAAATATATATATATTGTATATTGTGTTAAATAAGACACGTAAGTATAAATCACATGTGATTTCATTGACGTACATTTTTTGGCAAATTTTTTACTATTAAACGAGACATCTTGTCTTATTGATAATTTTCCGTGTCTAGAAATGAACGATCTTATTTATATTCAAAAATAGAAATTGTATATTCATTTATACATGCAATTTTAAATATTGCGTGGAAAAGTATCGTAAGCGCGAGGCACGTGGAAACATAGGTTATGTTTCTTAAACACGTGACCGCGTTTCATTCATTGGAGAAGAAGCAGATTCTGGAGAAGCAGAGAGAGAGAAAAAGAGAGAGAGAGAGAGAGCTACCCGCGTTTTAGAAACGCTTTTGAAATTCACTCACATAGTATACATACGTACTTTACATGCATATTGAACAGCTATATCGCGTCTAATTCAGGATTTTATATTAGAGAATAAAAACATTTCTAGAAATGCAGGCACAATTAAACAAAGATTGAAAAATTATGATGCATAATATATATGTTAAAACAGTGAAATAGAAATATCTTATAGTCAAAATAGAAACAATTTATATCACTGTACTTGGATAAATAAGTTTATCTTGACATCGTTTAGCTCCTATTATATATATAGCAACCTAAATAGATGGAAACTAGCTTTATATAACAATATCAAAATGTTAAAATTTCGAACAACTGATAACAATGAAATGATCGGCATGGTGACATTATTCATTACATAAAGAAAATGTTTAAAATATATTTTCGTTGCATCATCCATATAAACAAAATAATGTATATAAATTACACATAAACGAAACGATATAATGTACAACTCTTGTCTGAAGCTAAGATGTCTATTTTTTTTCTTATTGCAGCTCTTCGTTTTCCTAAAGCTGATAATATAGCCAATATCAATTTAGTTTTTTTTAAATATGTACTTGTAAAAAAAAACATACGCCAAAAAATTAATATTTCAAAATTAAAGTTTGCAACTGTTACATGATAATTTTAACATATTGTTTTTATTCCTTTCTACGTCGCACAAAATGTTTACAATTATTAAATCATTATATCCTTTATAATAGTAATTGTAGTATTAAAACTTTTATGTTAGTATCAAAATTATAAATTCTCGTTACATATTACATTTTATTTATTTTGGCACATATTCATGAACATATTCATTATGCGACTTTATAAAAAGCTAATGAGGTGGAATAAAATGTGCTTGGAAATGTATAATAAAAACGAAGGATTATTTTTGTGCATATCTTGGGACACGTAATATTAATATTTACGTGATAATGTATGTATGTAAGGTATAAAAATGAATGTGATGCAATGAAGCTTTAATAAAATTGTATTACTCTTGAAGACTGCATTAGGAATCCTTCGGGTATATTAAGAGAGTAACAAATTGTGTATATACAAACAATTAATATTTATTAATTCAATATTAAAAGTAATGAGCTGTTTTTGTTCCTTAGATCTTGTTGAACGAAGCAATATCTACGGATTGAACTAATTCCTCGAAATCTTGAATCTGTTCAATCAGCAAATCCACTGATACTTTCTCGTCTTCTATCACACACATTATTTGTAACTTGTTTATGCCATAGCCGACCGGGACAAGTTTTGCTGAAAAGTATCAAATTCAGTTATACTATTTGCTTACGTACGACACAACCTAGGTACATGCCGATCAATAGAACTACAATAAAATATAAAACTTACATGCACCCCAAACAAGACCGTCCATCTGAATTGATCTCACTGCATTTTCCATTTCCTTCATATCGGTTTCGTCTCCCCAGCTCTTCACGTCCATCACGATACTCGACTTGGCAATGACTGCGGGCTTTTTTGATTTTTTCTCCGCGTACGCCTTTAACCTTTCCTCTCTGATCTTGGCAGCTTCCGCATCCTCTTCCTCGTCTGAGCCAAATAGATCTAGATCGTCGTCGTCGTCATTCGCCTTTCCTGTGGACGAAGCTGTGGCACTAGCGGTGCTAAAGATGGCAGGTGCTTTCTTTTCTCCAGGAAGTGACTTCAAATCATATGATTTTATGTGGTTGTACCAACGGAGTACATGGGGGTTTGAAGATGTCGGTGCTTTCCCCAGTGCCTCGAGTACTGCAACATCGGCCTGAGTTGGTTGCCACCTATCGAGTGTAAATTCTTCTCTATGATACGTTATTTTGTATTAAAGTTGATCCTTATTGTATCAATTTGAATCTCACACATTACTAAAAAGGACTTACTTGCATTACATTTCCTCTATAATGCTTTGATCAGAAATTCTAATATCGCTTTAATAATAGGTTATTAATAGGTTATCGATAGAGTTAAAATTTTATTATCATTCTTACTATAAACAAATTAAAGAATTAATAAAACATATTGAATAAACAATATATACAATTTTCAAAAATTAAATACAGGTCTTTTCAAATCATTTTCTTATCAATTTCTAAACCAAGAAAAATTACCTCTTCATGCAAACAATTTTTATTTTGCTATATTATTTATAGTTTATCAAAAAAAGAGAATGATAAAACAAAGTATAAATATAATCTATATTTTGAACTACATATGTCAGAAATCAAATTAAAATTCTTACTCTCACACATGTTAATAGATATATGTAAATATGTTAATAATCACATATGGAACTGTAAATAAGCGAGTTTGTCAAAGAATTTGTAAAGTTTTACGAAAGAGAACTTGTATCAAAGAGGATAGAAAGATGATACGTAAAAATAAATGCAAGGAGTGGGTGTGGGGTACTGTCCGGCGTGTGCATGTGTTGTTCGGGTAACACATGTCCATACGTGACACTGGAAACATCGTACTCTATCTCGGCAAGATCGAGACGAGGACTGCAGATAGATAGAAGCTGCGCAAATGTTCTGAACGCTCGTGACGAGCCGAAGGTCTCTCCTCGCGCGGCGGCGAGAACTTGGGCGGGAGTGCGCCGTGTGATGTGTACATAGAATGAGAATCAGAAATAGAGCCAAGATGCCGACAAAGCAGGAGAGCACGTGGAGACCGGAGAGAGAGAGAGAGACGTTCGCGAGTCAGTCCGAGAACACGTTAGAAGTAGGCTCACCCCTCGATATAACTGCGCTCGGCGAGGTAAGTGTTGAGGTCCTCGACGCCTTTATCAGTCTTCAGGTCACCGACTGCCATGGCGAGAACGTGTTCCGGGCGAGTAAATAGCTGATCGCGAGAGCTCGACGAGACAGTAGCGGAGAGGAGACCACCCTTCGTCTGGTCGCCGGAAGAGAGAGCTGCGCGCGGCGGAGCCACCGGCGCGGCGCCACCGCGGGGCCTCCGGATCCACGACCCGGTTCACGTAGCTCGCTTTGAGAGCAGCGTCGTGACGTTTGTTCCGGCGCACCTCGCGCACCTTCCCCGTGGGAGGATATTACGGGAGATACTTTTTTCTTGATGGCTTTCGGAACGCGCTAATATTTTGCGAATGCGAACCACGACTCAGACTCGTGTGTGCTGTCGCCTATCGCTCTTTCCATTTAGCGAAAGTTGACACTTGCGTCATTTTATCTTTGTTGTCATTGAATGTTGGAAAAAGACAGAATGATTGTGTCAACTTGTGTCGCTAAAATATACATCAAGCCCGCAAAAGGTTCGTTTTACAGCTACAATACGTCGTATTAATTTAATTTTGGTTTCTCTACTATATACTTGATTCACCGATTACCAAAAGGTTTAAATTTTGAAGAAAAAGTTAATAACAATAATGAATTCAGACAACGATCTTTTTTAAAATATATATATATTAGACACAATGAATTCTCCCTCACGAAAAACGTTACGTATACTGTTTCCGATTAATGTAAAATATATTATTGAAATCGATATATACTTAACATATTTGCGGGAAGCTGCAGACTTAATTTTTCATATGTTATTGTCATTATAATTAATTGACCATATTCAAAAGAATTTATTCGCCGCATATATGTCATATATGCATGATTACATATGTCATGATGGCATATTCAGTCATATGCCATCACTTAATTTTGATTGTGAGTTTATTTTTAGGTGCAAAAGAATTTTTTACAGAATTTTTAGAAAAATAATTGTTTTTGCATCTGAAAATGAGCTCAGCGAATTGATATGACAGCATGAATTCTTTTTGAAGCACTCTCTGTGCTATACCTATATATGTATAATAGATATATATCTGCTTGAGTATTTAGATTGTTAAATTATTTTTATGTATAATAAAACGATATAAGCATGTTTGAGAAAGTTGGGAAATTGAAGAGAGAAATGAAATATATTCTTAACTATTATTAATAAATTAATCTATTAATAAATATATACATATATACATCTCTTTATTAAAAAAAACTATTTTCTTAGATTAATAAATATCTCTTTGTCGAAATATTTTCTTAAATTAATAAATATCTTCATCGCTCACTTAATAAATTAAATATTTAATACTGTTGAATTATTATTACATATTCAATATTTAACGTAAATGTTATAGTAAAATGATGTTAATGATATTCTCGTTGTATTTCACTATAAAAATTCTAACATCATGCTTCTTAGCTGTTATAAAATTTAGCTGTTATTTAGCGATAATTAAATTCATTTCTCTCTCTCTCTCCCTTTATATATACGTCAATTATTTTACTTTTTTAAGTTGATATCATTAATTAGGTATATGTTATGCAGGTATATGTTATGTAGAAATTATAACATCGCTTTATATAAATAAGCTTATACATTTCAAGAAATTAGAACTACGAATGTTACTAAACCGGATTACCGTTGCCGTGATGTAAATGTAGTCAATAATAATTTATATTAATTTCCTATTGATCGTTTCAATAATTCTTATTTCTAATTAATATATATATGATTTATACAAAATATATATATCTGTTTCGCATAAATAGTCGTCAAAATAGATTATGAATTGTCTAAATGTGATCATCTTAAGTCTTTAACAAATGCTGCATATTAGGAATTAATAGATTCCATGATTCTCTTTATCTTCTAAAAACGGAGAAAAACAGGAAGACTTCAAGCACGATTCTCGCGTGCAAGAGTTAACTATCTATTGAGCAAATTAACGTTTGTCTCTAAGAAGTTTATGAGATTTAACTACACACGTGTCATTTTAGTCGATCTTGAAGTATTGCTCACTCGTGATTTGCAAGTTCTTTACAGATTATAGATAGTGTGCGGAATTTTTGCACTTTGTCTTACTGTGACTGATCCATTCATGTTGAGATAGTTAATAAATTCAACATTACAGCTAGAATGTTACGTCAATATAATTGTGGTTGACAATTTTATTTTTCTGATTATATTTTCCTTGTTTTACAGCGAATTTTTATACGATAACACAATGTTTAATTAATATAAATATCTGTTCATTATAATCATAATTTAATATTGCAACTATTTAAGAAACTCATTTTTTTCAACGTATTTTTCATGCGCAAAATTCGTAACTAAAAACTTGTTTATCTCTTCGTAAACAAGATAATTGTATGGTTACCATAAATATACGGTATACGGACCAATGCTATTTCCGGCACAAGAGATGCGAACTTGCACTAGGTGATTATGCACATAATGTATTATATGCGATGCAACGAATACGTACTTACATTGGAAATAAATACAGATGTTAGATTGAATTCAAGAGTTAGATTAGTAAGATCAGTTAGTACAGAAAGACAAAGTTGAATTTTATTTTAAAAAACATTAATTTTTGATAGGCATAAATTCGAGAAAACGCTTGTCGAAGTTTGGAAAGATAAGAAAATTATTAATATACTTTTGTAACAAATGTGTCCAAGGACTCGTGTGCTTTATGTGACAGCAAATTATGAAATCTTTTTTTTCCATTATTTATTGACTACACATTAATTAATTCTAAACCAAATGTAAAATAATAATTATAAAGAAAGAAATTTTACTACATACAAAAAGTAAATAGGATTGTAATCTCTGTAACTGCAGAAACGTATCGCGACGAAAAGAGAATAGACTAACTAAGATCGAGAGATATTTGATTTTTAAATCATTTGTTATAATTTTGCATTAGAAATAAGTTCAGTTAAAAATAAGTAACAGTTTTATATAAAAATTTCAAATATTATTTACTATATATTATTTTCTTCCACAAAAATTTTGATAAAGAGCTATTTATTGTAAGAAACCATTTTATTTTCTGTAGCAGATAATCGGTGGAAAAATTTGAAAAATATATAAATGTGTAGCACGAAAATCAATTTAGGCTATTAATAAGAGTTAAATTTGCACATCGTTTAAACGTTTTTATTGACAAAAAAAAATTACAAAAATTTTAACATAAAACATAATCTAAAAAATAGCTGACATGATATTTAATTATTTATTATACTTCCATTATTGAAAAAAAACTGACAATGCCGTATGTCTCTTTAGTAATAATAAAGATATTAAATGCAACAAATATACCACTATCCATAAAAATTTATAAAAGTACTGAAAAATTAAAACTTATCAAATTTACTAAAGTAAGTACAAAATGCACATACAAATAAAAATTGTTATATTAGCAAAAAATATTTTAAAAAACTGTAATGACTGCAAAAAATGCTGTGTAGCCCGGAAATAGCTAATTAAAAAAATTTTAAATAATGTAGAGACGCTTTATTTTATAATTTGTTTCTTAAAACTTTTTTAATTTAATCGACAAAGTATTTCAAACAATTATGTAAGTATTCTTAAATTTGTACACATGTTTTATATGTAAAGTTTATTTTTCAAATTAAATGTTTGTTAGATATATTTTATTTTTTTGAAAGATATTTCTACTCGGAGCTAACTGTTATACAGATTTAAATGTCTAGGGCTCCTATCTTTTACTTATACGGAATTATTATTAATATAGGTGAAATGAGAGAAGTTACGTAAATTTTTCTTTGTATTATGTTGAAATAAATTAATTTTCCTCGTGTGCTACGTATATAATAATATACTCGCGTAGATATGATAAAATATTGTTGATACTTTCATACTCGATTTATGAATAATTATAAATCTTCAATCAATTGTTAACATTTTTATTAGAGATACAGGATGCAATCTAGATTATATGTGCATTTATTAATAATAGCAACAAAAAAGAAACGACATTTTATCAATTTATGGAACATATATGTAATAAAATTCGAAAAATTGATTTATATCTCAATTTATAGTGCAAACAATAAGTTTGTTCACAAACATTTTTTTACGGGGCAATAATAAAACTTATAATTATCATTAAGAAAGAGAAGTTTGAATTATTATTGCGTGAATTATTAGTACGACCGATTGATTTATTAACCATTTTTCATTTGCGAGATCTACATAGTTGTACCATTCTAAAATTCACAATAAAAACGATGATTCCATACGTGATGTGAAGGCAAATTTAAATTCCTCCGACTTAATCGATTAAAGATAATGAATTGTCCTTATAGGTATATTTGTTTATATTTTGCTTTTGGAACGCAAAATCCATATCCAAATACGTTTGCTAAATGTAATACTTTAGTAGCTGAACAATTCGAATCATAGATATAAAGAAATAGGCTTCTGAAAATAAAAATAAAAATCGGAGCGTAAGTTGAGTGTAAAACAGAAATGTAAACGAAACTTCTGAGAAGCGTAAATTGGAACAGCAATTAACTAGCAAAACGTAAAAAGGGCGTTTATCTTTAAAACTTCTATAACGTTCCCCTGGTTTGATTTACGCTTTCAAGAAATTTATGCTTCTGCATTCTTTCCTTATGTTTAACTTATGCTCCGATTTTTATTTTCGCTATAGGAACACCGTCACATATTCTATCCTCTCTACAATAAGTAATAATATTTTTTTTAGGCAAATGAAGTATAATGTTCTTCCTATCCTTGATAACTTTTTTTTATTTTTTTTTAACCGGCGATGAAATTATGCAGTTTAAGTTAAGATGTCAAACGTCTCTACATCCTTAAACAGTTTCATTAAATAAATTCTTCGTAATATTTTTGGTAACTTCTTATTATCCATTCTAAATACACTACATTTTGTATAATATTTATATAAATTTACTATTATAAATAAAGCCACGTCTCTGTTTTATATATAAAATAAGTTCTCCGTTCATTTTATTTACCCTTTTCCAAATGTTCCATATCATTTTGCTAGCCTTGGCCTGGCACTAGAGTAGTCGCATTGGTATGCCTCTATACACCATGTCTACTATTTTTTTCACGGCCATTTGAATTATGTATTTCTCAAAAAGAGATAAAATTTATGAGCACGTGATACCCGCATTCTTATCTGATATGTTAAGTCGTGATCATATGAATTGATATGAGAATGTTTAGCATTTTCATGTTATACTTTATAACTATGTTGTGCATTCCAGCTGACTTGACTTAGGTAGCAATTATCTTATCGCATTTTTATATGTAGATCATCGATTATTTATTTAAAGTAATGCTAATTACATATACGTATAATTACAATCGGTATATACATTCTTTTATATGTTATACCGTTTTATTTACTTCAAACAATGAATATTTTTTAAGCCAAATTAAATAGAATCAATTTTAACGAAGAAACTTAACGTCAAATATATCTATTTCATATAACATCCGTAATTATATTATATTAAATCTTACATCATTTTATTTTGTTTAAAATACACAAATACAATATATTATACAATACACAAAAAACATATTGTTATTCAAATTTGAAGTTTATTGTTCAGTAGAATAATCTTATTGTGCAATAGGAATACAATAGCATAAGACATAATATAATAAAAATTCGCAACATATATTAGGTATAATAAAGTTAGCAATTAGGATTCAAATTAAATCGTTTAAGTATTTTTATTATTTTAAAATATTTTAAACTTTAGTGTGTGTTTTGGTAGCATAAATTTTCATTGATCGGTATTCGGCATTTAAGTGAATCATGTATATGTGAGATTTGTTCTTCTTTGTCACTACATTGGACTGTATAAGTACTATTATTTTCTATCTCGCTTTCGTTAAACTTCAAAAATATATATTCAAATATATCTATGTCATTCTAAATACAACGAGTGTACATGCATTATATAGTTCAGTGACAAAAGAACAGACTTTTGTTATTGTTTATAATTTTATTTATACATGCGAGTATCAATATGGCAACTCAATCAAAACAATATTTCAATAAAGCAATATTTAATGCCTTTCCCTAGTTGTATTTTAGACATTAAGAAATAATATCACGTAGTATCTTCTACGTCAATCGATTACGGTCAACGCATTCCTATCTCATGATTCAATTCTACGAAATGTGTATTATATTTATGTTTCAAGAATATTCTGTTCATGATTACACTTTATATACCAGGTAATTTATTATTAGCCGTCCATTATTACAAGAAATCATATATATTTCGTACAACAAATAAAAACTCAAAGGTATATAATGAAATTTCTTTTTAGAAACACACAAAAATTTGCGTCTGAAATTTTTTAAATTATTTTTTGTAATTTGTAATAAATTTACAAATAGATTTATTATCAACATTAAATAATCACACTTTTAAATTTGACTTTTTAGAAACAAAGATTGATATAAAAGATGTTTGGGTTATCTTTTTTTTTTTTATAATCGGGCTTTCTCCGATTATGCCACCAGTAACGGATATAAATATGGATAATCTTATATTTTAAAATTTATCTCTAACGGATATGCCGGATATACGAATAATCTTATATTTAAGAAAATTTATCTTTAACGCGGATGTGTACGAATAACTTTGTATATTAAGAAAATTTGTTTTTATGACATTGACTCTTTTAGATTGATAAAAAGCAAATTTCAAATCATATGCTACTATATATTTATTTCTCTTTATATAAAATTAAATTACATGTTAGATTTGAAATTAATCGTTTCAACTATATTTCATTTCTAACAATAAGAGCAAATAATGATTCACAGTGCAATTGCTCGTTTCTCGGCGGAAGCTGTGAAGTAGATAGATAAGAATGTGAAAGAATAGATAAGCCATTCGACACAAAGTCCTAGTTTCCAAGATGGAAAACATTGTCTATTGCTCGATATAAATTTCTATTAATCTTTTTATAATTATCACTTTGCGAAGAAAACTAGGAATAATTTCTTCCTTTGTCATACATTACATGAGCATCAATACTTTGAAAGTAGAAATATGATCGAATTTCAATGAGGGGCAAAATAAATGAAATTATTAATATTAGCGAGACTTTCGAAACTGAAGCTTTAATACAATCGGATTCCTTGGTTTTAATTTGTGCATTTTTTTTCATCATGTCAAATGGTCTATATATCTTTTGTTATTATGCCAAGCCGTATTCGCGCATATAGCTGTGGAATTTGGCATCGTGCCGAGGAAGATTCAAGGTAACCGCGATCATATGATAAATCTATATAAATAAGATTTTGCGACACACCTGTAAGCATAATTGTTATTGCTTGCTTTTTGCGCGATGTTTGTGCGGTATCTGGCTCGCTATCGTCAAGAACTATCGAGTCAGAGGTCTTATCCGAGTGCATCAAAAAGTAACGAGATACGCGCAATTGTGCGCGCCTGATTTATGCGATTCGAGCCGCGCGGCCGGCGCGGCGGGTCAACCGAGTTAAAACAGCTGAGCGCCGCCAGGCGGCGTTCGCGGCGGCGGCGGTGGCCGACGACAGTCGCGCAACGATGACGGGTGGGGTGGGCGGCAGTCGACGGCGACGGTCGAGCGGTGACGGTCGATCGTGATCGTTCGCGAAACGAGTCGAGGGAAGATATCCCGCGCGAGTCGCGGAAGAACGTCGTCGAAGGAAGGTGTTCCGCGTGCGATGATTGCATGATACGCGTGATACATTGTGTGCGTATCCAGTCCGTGGAGCTTGGAGCGAGGTTAAGTGCGCCGCGAGTTTGGCAGTACGAGGAGAGCGTGAATTCGGCAGTGTGAAACGTCACGCGATGCACAGGACTAGTGTAACGACCGCGGCAACGGCCGCTCGTCGTCGGACTTTGATAGACGCAGCCATGACGCGTAACGATGTCCTTTGGCCCCTGTTGCTGCTACTGCTGACCTTGTCCAGCTTCGCGAGTCCGGTGAGTAACGTACATGTATATATAAGTATAAGGACTGAGCGACGACGGTCGGTTATACATATTTGCGCCGCATCCTTTCTGCGACGCTCATGTTGCACGCGCGTCGCGCGTGCGTCACGTCAACGCTCCGTTTTCTCCTTTTCCTCGTCTCATCTAGTGCGCTCGCGCACACTCGCGGGAACTACGCGCTCACACATACACGCATATCGTGACGGTATATACACGCGGTCACTCATATACAGCTTTCCGTGTATACCTGTCTATACACTGTCCACACAGTCCACACCCCAGGCAAAGTAGGATCGACGGGCGCTTACGCGTCGCATGACGTCATCTCGGCTGATCGCCGAGAAAGCCTATAGGTAGCTGGCCTTTCCCGTCTTCGAGTTCGCTCGTTCAATTGAATTTATTCCCTCTTTCGCCGCCGCGTCGTCCGAGAAAAGCTTTACCGCTTGGAGTAAACCAAGCACGTTTTCACGGCGTTTGTGGGTCGAGGTCGACGGGAGATGTTTTTCGACTGCAGGCGTTGGTTCCGCGAAAGTTTAGCTGACTCGCTTTTCGAGGCAGTCGCTAACGTCGCATCCTTACCGTCCAAATTAAATTCCATCGACGTACATACGTGACTGACGACAGAAAAAATATTTTAGAACGGAGCCTTGTCCGTTTATGTTGTCACGCGACCTCCGTTAATTCCGCGCTTGTCCCTCGAACCTTCTTTTTCGGATCCGTTGCTAATATGTATTTGTAATATGAATAAAAGAAAAGACACAGTCGGTGTAATTAGTCGTTCATTAGAATGACTAAGAGCTAAACAACGTTAGCGATAGTTGGCTACTTACTATCGGATAAAGAATGTAGCTTGCGACACACGCATAACAAACATCTCTGTCATTCAATAACTATGTTCCTTTCTCCATATTTTCTTGTTTAGAATCTAATATGGCTGTATGATACACATATACGAAAGCACGAAAATAATAACGAGAAAGTAAAGAATAAATGTATGAAATGTATATGTATATATAGATATTTAACAAATTATTAAAACTAACGGAACCATGTGTGTGCAACGTAATGCTTACAAAAAGTGTAAAAAAGAAAATTTTTAATATTTATTAGTTTTTTATCGTTCTTGTATTTCCAAACGAGAGAGATATTTCTAATCTTTCCAGTTTTCATATTTTTTAAACTTAATTTATAGATTTTCTTATATCGCTTTCTCCTCTTTTTTGTTCTAAATTAAACTAGAATTCTACGAATTTTAGTTCTAAATCAGACTTAGAAACATTAAGTTTTTTTTTTTTAAGAATTATACAATCGATATATCAAAAACTGTGTTTAACTTTATATTGCTTAAAATATTAGATGTTATTTATGTGTAAACATGTCTATTAAAAGCTTTGAAAATAAGGAGAAAGTAAAGATTAAATATATTCAATCTATTTATATTTAACGAATTAACGAAACTAATAGAACCGTGCCTATGCTTACAAGAAGTAAGAAAGAACAAACTTAATAAAATAATTTAACAAAATTTATTTGTTCTATATATGTAATACTTTTTGAAAAACGACAGAGGGAGAGGGAAAGAAAGCGCTCTAATTTTCTCCAGTTTTAATATTTTTTAGACTTGCAGATTTTAGGCCTTTTAACTATTTTTTTTATTATAAAGTAAATCATAATAATACTTTATTATCAAATTATAAAAAAAGTTCCATGAATTTTAATTCTAAATCATATCTTAGAAATTTATTAAATCTTTTTCAAGAAATATACGCCACTTGTGCGAATATATGCTTAATTAACATGTATTTAAATATTATAATGTATAATATATAATGAGAGCCCACAGAGAAATTGCGCTCGTGTTATTGTCTTGATTTCTCATCGGTTGTCTGGACTCGCGTTGCGGCAGGCAGGAAAGAGAGCTAACAAGTGCGACTAGAAACAAGGCTATTGTTAATGCTAGTAGTCTACTTACAATTAAATGGGATTTCTTCTTACGTTATACACTCAAAACTTAGAAAACGTTTTAGAATTTGTGTATAAGCACGTGTAACAAAGAATTATTGATATGTTATATAATACAGATACCATATCCTTATTTCATATTAATGTCTTACAATTAGTTAAAGTTATGTGCATATGTTACGCAAGTCGGAAATTATCCGATATAGAATATGCAAGCCAAACTGCACGCAAATAATTTTTTTTGCCACGTTAAAACCGATAAGATTATAAATCATGCAGTTTTTTTGTAAGTATCATCACGAATTATTTATAAAGACGATCAAAAACATTCCGCCGGTTCGTTTCGTCGGACATAATCCAAAGTATAACGCCCATTGCGTGACTTATAAGACTCCTTTTAAACGAATGACTCATGCGAAGAGCTGATACCGAACATTGTTTTTCATGTGATATGAACAAACTCTATTTTGTGTTTTCATGCATATCTTCCTTTCTTTTCATTTTTTTTTTTTCATTACAATTTAAATATTTGTTTTGAATAAAATATAAGACAATGTAACAATAGAGAATGAACATGCGTCTCGGGACTAAATAATAATTCTGATAAATATTAAAATAATTTAAATTTCTTATCAAATAAAGTGAATCTTATAACAATTCTATAAAGTAAATATTAAAAATAATTTCTTTCAACTTGAATTAAACTGTTTTGTTACAAGTTCTTCAATATATTTTTCTTACTTTGCCAACCTATGATACAATAGAAAATTACTTAAGATTATTTGAACGAAATAAATAATGTTTTAAGAAATATTTGTATATAAAATTTCCAGGAATTTTAGTTGTATTTATGTTTAACAAATTTTAACTGAAAATTTGTAAAAATAAATACAATGATGTACGCACACAGTTTTTATCTCTTTAAAGTCACAATTTCCAATAAAAAAAATTTTTTTATTTAAATCTTATTGTAAATAACTGTTTGAAATATTTAGATAATATTTTTATTTTCTTTAAAAGTGACTACTTTCTCTTTCCATTTCTCAGTAATATATTGCTTTATATTAGAAATTTAATTTAATATATTACTTATGTAAATTTAAAATTAATTTGATATAATCAAATATTATTGTTGACAATATTATTGTCATTATTGGTCACATTACATAGAAATATCTTTTGTGGGAACTAAAGTGAGAATAAAACATCATTTCTTTGTTAAGAGTTCTTCATTCAATATTGTGTTTTATATTAGGCGAATTAAATCATTAATTCAGCTCATTGACTCAAATAAATCTCATCAGACTTTAATACGCAGGTCATGAAGAATTCAATTAGGAAATGCCTTATGTAATATTCTATGTATCTTTATACAAGCCTTGTGCGAGCGTAGCCGATGAAGCTTGTCGCACACTGAATGACAATATTAGTATAAAAATATGAATATATTTATACGTATTTATATTACGGGTTATAATACGGATATACGTAACTGAGAAAACTGTCCCATTGCACGATAAATTAAAGCTAATTTTATCATGTTATTTTATTTTACAAAAAAGTAATTTACTTAATGAAAGTTTAAACATCTTATTATTTATAAACAGGTTGTCAGTGAAGAAAATGGTCATTGTATATGGTATGGAGTATGTTACACGGATAGTTTTTTGCACAAAAAGTATTGTCCTTACGACGGACCAGCGAAACCATTGAATTCTGATGGACAAGAATTGCTGGCTAAGAATTGTCCACATTTATTGGTGGATGATGGAAAAGGAATTAATACTTGCTGCGATGCGGATCAGCTTACTACATTAAACACGAATGTCCAGCTTGCGGCAAATTTCTTAAAAAGATGCCCTAGTTGTTTAGATAATTTAGCGAAGCATTTTTGCGATTATACATGTGGTGTTAACCAAAGCAAATTTATCAATATTACGGAGAAAGCAACGGACGAAGCAAAAGGTAATTATTATATTCTGTCTGCCATTTAAAACTTAATATCTTATAACATTTTGATACACATTTTGAATCTCTTTTCAGGTGTAGAATATATTAATGGGATAGATCTATATATAACGAACAGATATCTTGACGGAACGTTTAACTCGTGCAATAAAGTGTCGGTGCCGAGTACGGGGCAGTTAGCATTGGATTTAATGTGCGGAGAATGGGGAGCGAGTAGATGTACTGCTTTGAAATGGTTTCACTATATGGGTGATGCGGCGAATAATATTTACGTACCTTTCCAAATCACATATGTGAATACTGATCAACCTGTCGGATCATTTGAGCCAGTAGATCCTGTAATTACACCATGCAGTAAGGCGTTAAACGTTAGTATTATATTTTTAGAAATGTATATGTATGTGTATAAAGTCTACAATATATGTTCTTTTGTGAGTATGTGAACAATACATACAAAAATGTAAACTATAAGTGCTCTTTTAAATCTATAACATTTATTAACAATGTAATAAGATAATAAGCAAAGTAATATATTTATATTAGCTACATATTTTTCTTTCATAAGGATCTGTTAAATGCTGCAGTTACTTAAACATACAATGATATAAAACAATAATGTTAGTTACGAGTTTTTTCTGCACGCACGCGCGTTCACACTTTTTATCATTCTTGATTTTATTTTCTCATTCTGCAATTCAACAGTTATGTTACCAAAGTTAAGCATAAGTTCTCAATTACATATGTAATATTCATTGGTTAAGATCAAATAGATTATTTTATTTTACTTTATTTTTACGTAATACGTAATATTTTATTTATTAATTTTTTAATAAAATTTAAGAATTATTTAGGTATTAATTATGATATTATTTTTATACGTACTATAAAATGAATGAAATTATTTAAATATTATTCTCTTACGTTAATAATACGAAAAAATGTTAGATATAATTAAAAAAATTAATATGTTTGTAAACATTTTTTTAAAACTGTTATTTTTGAAGTTTTTAAAAATCGTAAATGTAATATTTTTATATGAAAAATAATTATATTTTTTAAAATTTTACAATTGACATTAAAATTATTCAATTTAACTTAAAAACGATATGTTGAAACTTTTTTAAATTATTTAGAAAAACAATTTAAATCTATAACAATTTAAATATTTAGAAAAACAATTTAAATATAGTCTATACATTTTTAGTATTTTTTAATCTAAAGCGTTCTATTCAGCAGTTATTCTGTTTGTATCAAATCATTCTAAGTCATGCAAAAGAGCACTTACGTCTATAAATTGTTTTGAAATAAAAATATAATTAGAATATGCAAAGAACATTTACATCTATAAATCATTTCTTTAATGGGATATAAATGTAATATGCAAATGAGACAGCATAATTAGTAAGGCCGATTAAAACGAGCTAGATTTAATTTTATTTTGTAGAAAAACACTCCAGCTTGCAGCTGCGTTGATTGTGAACAAAGTTGTCCAGTACCACCGCCGATGCCTCCACTACCAAAACCATTCTCAATATTCAGTTACGATGGTTACGAAGTTATAATGACAATTATTTTTATATGCGGTTCCTGTCTTTTCCTTCTGTTAATGATGTGTTTCAGCCATAGGAAGCGTATAGGTAAGAAACTTGTCCTTGTATGTGCATATCAAAAGTATATTCTCTAAATATATGTGTATAAAGAGATATAATTTTTATTATTTAAAATATTATTATTCTTTTAAGACTAGAAAAAAAGGTCTAAAGAGACGGGATTATTCAGTTTGGTATATGTATATTGTGATTGATGGAATGTCTTTCTTAAAATCATTTTCTTCGAGATCTCCAGATTATAGATATTTTCTTACATAGTATATGTTTTTCACACAATGTTATATATATAATCAATTTGGCAACGTAAATTGGTACAATCTTTAAATGACCTTGAGTATAAAAATTCATAATTATATCAATTTAAATATTTTTTTAGAGATGAAAAATATTTCGAAGTTTTGTCATTGAAGAAAACTTCACTGTAAGTAAAACATATAGAATTTATGATTTAATATATTTGCAAGAACACTCATTGTCTTTTTTAATATTATACAACAAACTCGAAAGAATTGCTTTAGACTTCAATACATTTGAGATTCCTACCAACTGTAATGTCTTTTTGAACTGAATAATATCTTGACCTTAGACATTTTATTTTATTCTTAAAAGCAAGGAAGATATTTTAAATGATAAAAATAAATTATTCCATATACATATATATACATATATATATATATATATATATATATATATACATATATGTATGTATGTATGTATATATAAACATAAAAATATTTATAAAACATATAAAATAATTGTTGCTAAACATTGTGGCGAATTATGGAAATGGAAATGCATTATTTTTTTCAATTGAAGCTATTTTTTTATTATATTTTGCATATAATTTACCTTTGAAAATTTATTGAACATACTAGTGACTAATATAGTTAACTTGTGTTATTATTATTAATTGTTCTAATATGTAAAATAAGTGTGGAGATGAATTGAGGAATTATGTGATTAATTTATTGTAATGATTCCTAGGTATATTATTATATTTTATTGTTAGTTTGTTTTTTGGGGACGGCTTTTTATTGCATTTTTTTTATTTTATTTAAAGCTTTGAAAGGCATGAAATAATAACACCAAAGTCTTAATTTTTTATTTATATTTTTTATTTATAAATATAATAAAAGATAAACATTATTTTTGTGAGAATCATTAAGAGATTTATGCAAATATGCACTCATAAATTAAGATAAAGGGAGATAAATTAAGCCATGATCACACATACACACACAAAATTATACAAAATCTATATATTAATTGCTTAAATACTTCCGAAGAGAGTAATCTCTTGTAATAAACGTGTGTCATTCACTTTGGCTTATGAAACAATTGTTTGCTGCACATTTTTTAAATTTTTTTCTTAGAAGTGTTAGTGTCCACATTTACACTAACTTTGACTTTTTTGTCTTGACTTTATAAACTAATATATATGGAATTTTGTTTGGTATGATTTAGGTTGTATAATAATAAGTGTGAATTATCGGTCAAATAACTTTGTTCGTGTGTGGAACGGGTTTTTACTTTGTTATATTAACTACTTGAAGCATATCTGATTTCCATATAATACTTATTCGTATATCGTACAAAATAAGTACAGACTATAGGTTGTGTATGTATGGTGTGCGCATATGTATAGTTGCACGAGGAGAGGAGGTAGGAAGACAGGTGGGTAGACGGCTAGCTGCCGGATTACACCACCCAGGAGATGGTGCTCGTATTGCCCTCGCCGCTGACCAAGAAGACAGTCCACTACAGTCTAAGCGTTCCAGTAGGTTTTTTTCGATTCTAAAGTTCTTCGATGTGTTCGTCATTGCTGTTTTCGTGTTATAGCTTTTCTGTTGCTTTGCAGCTTTTGTGTGTCTTTCGCTTTATTTTCAGCCTTTGCAGATTATACCAAGCCAAGATGTCAGTTGGTTGTCAGTACACATTTTTTACTTTTCACAAATAGATTTATCAACTGTTGTAGCGTTATAGCGTTATAGCGTTAAGCTGTATATAACTTTTATCTCTTTTGTAATGCAATACTGCATATTCATGTAATATGAATTCTGATGATAATTAACTATACGATTGCACTGAAAATCTAAACGCTTAAGAGTGATGCTTGAAAAGAGTTTGCATTTTATATAATTAGCAAAATATTCATAACAAGCATGAGCTTAATGAGTTATATTTCGATAATATATTACATTGTGTAACAATCTCATTATAATTTGTTTACAATATCAATATACTTTTTTCGTAAATAAATATTATTTAAAATATTTTCAAGTTTCATAAGAAAATATATACAATTTCTTTAAAAATTTGAAATATATATAAATATTAGCCTAAACATATTTGTCTGCTCACAAAAATTGTGTTGTACAAGTATCTTGTATTTTTTTTTTTAGTGTTTAAAAATTATTTATTTTTATAATACTTAATTTTTTGCATGTTACAATATGTTAAGTACATGTCATAGGTATTGCTTTAAATATTTGATTGCAAGCTAAGTCAAATGTGCCGTTTATAAGTTTAATCAAGAAAGAATTCCCTATCAATAGTATTGAAAAATTGATTTGAAAAAATGAATATAATCTGAATTGAAATAATGAAGATTATAAATCAAGTTTTATGCCCAATTGTATGTATACGAATTTGTGTGTGTGTTTTTATACAAAAAATGTTACATTTGATAGAAAATGCCTACAATTTTTGGAAATAATATGTTAAAAATAAAAATTTAAATTTACTTACAAATTTAAATTATAAATATACTTAAATTATATTTTAAGTACCAATTATTTATTATTTTTTGCAAGATTATTGAATGAAATTTTTAACATTTTATTGAGGGGATTTCTTTATATCTTAACATTTAATCGTATGCCTATTCTAAATTATATTCTATATTACTTGTTTAGCATTATTTTCTTGTAAGTTAAAAAAAATCAATAATTTTAGTAATCTAAAAGATTTTGATTTCTTATATTTTTAAGTTTATTTAAATAAAAAAATTATATTTATATTAGAAATTTTGAACATTTTTACCTTTTTAACATAGTAAATAATGTATTGTAATGTATTGTTTCAAACATTGTTACTTGTAATTATATTTAAGACATTATATATTCTTTTATTGTTATTTATTATTAATCTCATAAAGATTATTTATTTTAGAACTTAACATTTTTATAATATGTTTTTGTACTGTCTTTTGTATAAGAAAATTGTTTGCTTGTAACATTATTATATATGTTAATTATAGATGATAGAATATTAATTGTTTGCAGCACTTGCATTCAAGATTTAAGCTGCATAATGGTGCTTACTCGGATATTTGTATAAATTATAAATTTATTATACTTTACATAAATGCTTATAGGTGTTATATCCAGTGATGAGTTACCATCTGGATTTGATGACCAAGAACAATCTACCTTTATTGAGAAGCTTGGAGCAGGTACTGACAAATTTTTGCAAGAGTTCTTTTGCAAGTGGGGAACATGTAAGTAAAATATAGTTCATATTTTATAATATAATTTACACAAAATTAGATTATAATGTTACTCTATATTTGCCTACATTATCTAATATTCTTTTGTAGTTTGCGCTTCTCGACCTTGGTTAATACTTTTCCTTGGCTTCCTATTGATTGTTGCCTTGGGACATGGCATAAAATACATGCAAGTTACTACAGATCCTGTAGAATTGTGGGCATCCCCGCATTCTCGATCGCGCGTTGAAAGGGAATATTTCGATAAACACTTCGAACCCTTTTATCGAAATGAACAAATTATTATCACTGCTGTTGGCTTACCGAATGTACGTATTACTGAAATATATTTGACTGTTATTTTTGCATAGAACAAGTTATATATTTTTAATAATATTTAACAAAGATAAGCATTATTCAGGGTGGGTACTACCGGGAAAAATCGAGACAACCTGGAATTCTCAGAATTTCATTTTTACCCTTGAAAATCATGGAATTTTACTGGTATTCAGGGAAATTTTTTGAATTTTACTTCTAAATTTAATTTATTCCTTTAGAAAGTAAACCCCATATCAAAGGCTTCTGATATTGAAAGTTAATTTATTTAAAAATTGACATATACTATATAAAGACTCTTCAATCTAAGAAATGATAATCCGGAAATAATAAATCAGGCATTAGCAAGAGTCTAATAACGCAGACCGTGGTGCGTGAAACAATTTAATCTTTACAGATGTAATTACATCTCTATACAAAATCTTTCGTTACGTTCGAAAAATTTTGTATGGAGATGTTTTCAAGTTCTATATATTATTAGAACTCTTAGTGCTTAATTTATTTTAAAGCTGTATTGAAAAATTCTTTGATATTACCTGGAATTTTGAATAATATTTTTAAAAAATCCAGGAATTTTCAGGGAATTCTTTTACAAAATTTGAGTACCCACCCTGTTATTGTGTAATTATTATTTCTTATCATTTCTTGTAGAAATGAATTATATGTATATTGACTTTTGTTTCAATATGTATAATTGTTTAATTACAGATTATACACAATACCACCAATGGACCAATTGTATTCGGCCCTGTGTTTAATGACACTTTTCTAAAAACAGTCTTTGAATTGCAAGAAGGCATTAAAAGTATAATTACTTCTAACAACTACACATTAGCGGATATATGTTTCGCCCCTTTAACTGGACCATTTACCGGTCCAACAACTGTTAAGCAATGCACTATTCAAAGCATTTGGGGCTACTGGCAAGACAATTTATCAAAATTTGACTCTACAGACGAAGAAGGGAATTACACAGTAAACTATTTGGATCATTTCAAAGCTTGCTCACAGTAAGTGATACGAAAAAATTGTGTAATATTTATTTGAATTTTTTTTTTTGAAATATGAATTCTCGAAACAAGTTATGCATTTACCTTGCACTCTCTCTCTCTAATATTTAACTCTTGAACCAATTTCGTATAAAACTCAAGCATAATATGGGGCGTCAAGATTAAATGCACTGACTGAGTCGATCGTGGGCTCTTATGGAATTATACATCATATTTATTTATATCTATATTCTATAAGATTGACATAAGTAAAATTACGAGGATCTTAGAGATATAGTATAAGTAATAAAATACGAAAATGTAATTATTATGAGATAAAAATAGAGACTTACTGTAATTAACTAATTATTAAGTGTTGATATTATAGAAAAGCAACCTATATATTCCAATGATAAGATATTTAGATAAAATTTTTAATATTGAAGCTCCTGACTAGTCACGTTGGCCATATTGAATCGTGACGTCATAAGTAAGAAATAAGACGTTAAAGTTTCTTGCATGCCATTTGTAAATAAAGAAAATTTTGATGAAACGAAAAAAATGGGATCGCTTTAAAAATGAACGGAAACTAATAAATTATCCCCCCCCCCTCCGACAGTCAGTAAATAGTTGTAAAAGGCATATGAAGTAAAGCCTATTTAGGTAGAAAAACACGATTTGACAGCTGTTGAAAGGAGTGAAAAATATGCTCTTACTAATAAAATTCAAAGATAATATTACTTTCCATCCATTTTTACGAATTTGATAAATACGAGACAAGTCACATTTTCACAATTAAACACATAACGAAATAGCATGCAAGACCGTTATTAACACTTTTTATAGCAAGGATCCGCTTTAAAATATATATGCTGATATCATGAGAAGTAAAAATTGATCAATTACAGTCAAGTATTCTCTTCACATTCGATTGTGATTAGTCAATTCTTATAGTTTACAACTTACGACACCGACATATTGTAGAATAGCCTTTAGTACAAACAGGGTTCTAATTTTTACCGCGATATAGTGTTGCCATCGTCACACGGAGTTCTTGGCTGATCAGGGGTCTTAATATGAAAATGCGAAAAACTATGATAAATTCAAAACTTTTAAAATCAATTATTTGAAGAATATAACAGAAATCGATAAAAGTTACCATTGATATGTATAACTATTGATAAATCTGTGTGATGTCTGAAACATAAGTAATATCGTTTTTTAAAGATGTGTATAGTATTGTTTTTCATTATATTTTTATTTATATTATATTTATGTATTTTATTTCAGAAATCCATATAATCCTGAGTGTCTCGCACGTTATGGCGGCCCTGTGGAGCCAGCAATTGCAGTGGGTGGATTTTTGTCGCCGGGACAAGATCTTCATGATTCACCATATGAAAAGGCGACCGCTGTAATTCTTACTTTTCTTGTAAACAATTATCACAACAAAGCCAAATTATTACCCGCTATGGAATGGGAAGAAAGGTAAATTTGAGCGGTAAATTCTAAATTTTTCTTATTCAAAATTATTGTTCAATTTCATTCATACATCGTTCAATTTCAGCTTTATCAACTTTATGAAAAATTGGACGGCAACGAGAAAGCCGGCGTTTATGGACATAGCATTTACGTCCGAGCGTTCTATCGAGGATGAATTGAATCGTGAATCTCAATCAGACATTGTGACTATTCTGGTATCATATATTATTATGTTCGGATATATCGCAGTGTCTCTTGGTCAAATTAGATCATGTGCTCGCCTTTTGGTATGAATCTGTGTTATATTACATGCTTATTCTCTGTCCTACCGTCTTATTTGACGTTCAATTGATATATTCGATTGATTTGCATTTCAGCACGATTCTAAGATTACTCTTGGACTCGGAGGTGTACTCATAGTGTTGGCATCTGTGATTTGTTCCGTTGGATTGTTCGGCTTTATTGGTATACCAGCCACGCTGATCATCATCGAGGTCATTCCATTCTTGGTACTGGCAGTCGGAGTAGATAATATTTTTATTCTTGTTCAAACTCATCAGAGGGAAGGCAGACGCCCGAATGAATCGATCCCGGAACATATCGGCCGTACGTTGGGTCAAGTTGGTCCTAGTATGTTACTCACAAGTGTATCGGAAAGCTGTTGCTTCTTCCTTGGTACGTATTAGCATAAGATATTGTAAACAACGTACTCAAACTGGAAAAAAAGGAAATAAAAATTATGTATGTAAATAAGCTGTTAATTAATTAAGCTGTTAATTAATTTTTGTTTTGTTTTGTTTACAGGTGGTCTTTCTGATATGCCTGCCGTGAAAGCGTTTGCTCTCTATGCTGGAATGGCATTATTAGTAGACTTCATATTACAAATTACATGTTTCGTCAGTCTTTTAGCACTTGACACGATTCGGCACGCAGTATGTACAAAAATTTTATTAATAATAATTAGTTAAGAATTAGTAAACAATTTATTAATTAACAAATTTATTTTAATTAATAAATTATTTTAAATTTGAAATAATAAATTACTTTAAATCATTCGAAATTTTTGTCTAAATTTTGTAGAGACTTAATTTTCATTATTCTTTTATCTTTTCATTCTCTTCTTCTCTCTATCTTTCTTCCTCTTTTTCGTTTATTTTATACATTATATTCATGATTAAATATATAAGGTATCTTTTTATAATTTCAGAATAACAGGCTAGATGTATGCTGCTTTATTCGCTCTAAGCGTGATGATGGAGAAGAAGTTGTAGATGGAATGTTGTATAAAATTTTCAAAGTCGCATATGTTCCGTTGTTGCTGCAGAAATGGGTTCGCACGGTTGTGATGATTGTATTTTTCGGTTGGCTCTGCAGCAGTATTGCCGTAATACCACATATCGAAATTGGCCTAGATCAGGAACTGTCTATGCCCGAAGATAGTTATGTGCTTAAATATTTCAAGGTATGTCGTAACCGACAAAACATAAAATGTCAAGCTGAATATAAATTTAAAAATTAAAATGTATTTAAATTAAAGAAACTCTGAGGCTCTCATGAATAAAAATTAAAATTCTTGCTTTTTTTCCAGTTCTTGAATAATTACTTGTCAATTGGACCACCAATGTATTTCGTTGTTAAAGATGGCCTAAATTATTCAAATACAGAAGTGCAAAACTTAATATGCGGTGGGCAATATTGTAACAGCGATTCAGTGTCGACGCAAATATTTACAGCATCTAAACAATCCAACAGGTATGTATATTACAACAAGAAACAGTTTTATGAATGAATTTTTTGATATTTGTTTAGCTTTATATTTTACTGAAATATTCTCACTTTTTTCCCTTTTTTTTTCAGAACTTACATAGCCAAGCCTGCTTCGTCTTGGATGGATGATTATATCGATTGGTCGGGATTATCTGATTGTTGCAAATACTTTCCTACGAACAGTTCATTCTGTCCACACACCGGTACATATTTTTCTTTACAAAATTGATAAAATTGAAAAGATTTAAGGGATTATGCCACTCCTGAGGTTTTAAACTGATATCTTAAGTTCGGGAATTTTTTGTGGGTAAATGGATTATTTAAAATCTACTTAGAGGACATTGTTGTACATATATAAGAAACTAAAAAAATATATTTTTTATTTTTTTATATGCAAAATGGCGCACTAGCCTACTTGCAGAATCCCTTTTTTTTTTGTTTTTTCAAATCAGCGTACAAGATTCCAGGCATACGGTTTAACTTTAAACAAAACACAAAGAATTTTCATTATTAATATATTAAAGACTAGAGAAGTACATAGGAATTTTTTAAAATATTGATTTTTCTCGAAATGGCAGCTATTTTTACAAAAAGTTCGTATTTTTGTCAATATTTATCTTTCGTAAAATAGCTGCCATTTTGAGAAAAATCAATATTTTAAAAAATTCCTATATACTTCTCTAGTCTTTAATATATTAATAATGAAAATTCTTTGTTCAAAGTTAAACCGTGTGCCTGGAATCCTGTACACCGATTTGAAAAAACAGAAAAAAGGAATTCTGCATATAGGCTAGTGCGCCGCCATTTTGCACATAAAAAAATAAAATATTTTTTTAATTTCTTATATATGTACAACAATGTCCTCTAAACAGCTTTTAAATAAAGTTATCTATTTATCCATAAAAAAATCCCTAACTTAATTATCATTTTGAGGCCTCAGGAGTGGCATGATTCCTTAAAAATTTATATTTAATTGATCTCATATATATTATACTCCCCTATTTTAATTTGACTGTTTTACATATTTTTGAATTGCAGGTCGGAGTTGTAAAAGTTGCAATATCACTTTAAATGAATTCAACAGACCAATGCCTGTTGATTTCGATCGATATATATCATTCTTTCTGCAAGACAATCCCGATGATGTATGTGCTAAAGGAGGTCACGCAGCTTACGGACATGGTGTGAATTACATTACCGATCCTCACACGGAAATGTCAACAGTCGGTGCTTCATATTTCATGGCTTACCACACTATTCTCAAAACTTCAGCCGATTATTACGAATCGATGAGAGCAGCCAGAGTAGTGGCGGCGAATATTACAAACATGCTGAACTGTAACTCGAAAAGGCTCAATGAAAGCGCTACTATAGAAGTTTTCCCCTACAGTGTTTTCTACGTATTTTATGAGCAGTATCTAACTATGTGGCCCGATACGTTGCAGAGTATAGGAATTTCATTGCTGGCTATATTTGTTGTCACTTTCTTATTAATGGGCTTGGATATCTTCTCATCATTCGTGGTTCTAATTACGATTACGATGATCGTCGTTAATATTGGTGGCTTAATGTACTGGTGGCATATAACTTTGAATGCCGTATCTCTAGTAAATCTTGTTATGGTAAGTGCTTATCGGAGAACAATTTCAATTTATATTGTTACATGGATCGGTTATTAGTACGTTTTTCATAGTTGTATAAATATATTTACAACTTTAATATACAACTTAAATAAACGTTTAAGAAATTAAATATTGGAATAGAATAATGAAATATTTATTATAAATTTGATTTTTTTTTATATTTAAATATTTCTGCTTTATTACATTTACAAGACAGATTTCTCTTAATTGATATTAGGACAGGGTGGGTACTACCGGGAAAAACCGAGAAAACCTGGAATTCTTGGAATTTAATTTTTTCCCTTGAAAATCATGGAATTTTACTGGTACTCAGAGAAATTTTTTGAATTTTTAAAATTTAATTTTATCCCTTTAGATTTTAGAAAATAAACGTAATCTCATATCGAAGGCCCCTGATATTAAAAGTTAATTTATTTTAAAATTGACATATACTATATGAATACTCTTCAAGCTAAAAAACAATTCGGAAATAAATCAAGCATTAAGAGTCTAATAACGCAGAACTTGGTGCGTGATACAATTTAATCTTCACATATGTAGTTACATCTCCATACAAAATCTTTCGTTACGTT